CCATGTAGACATGTTGCATGTAGACCTGTTCCATGTAGACATGTTCCATGTAGACCTCTTCCATGTAGACATGTTCCATGTAGACCTTTTCCATGTACACATGTTCCATGTAGTCTTGTTCCATTTAGACACATGTTCCTTGTAGACACATGTTCCCTGTTGATACATGTTCCATGTAGGCACATGTTCCATGCAGACACATGTTCCATCTAGACCTGTTCCATGAAGACTTGTTCCATGTAGACCTGTTCCATGTAGACCTGTTCCATGTAGACCTGTTAAATGTAGACCTGTTCCATGTAGACAAATTTTCCATGTAGACACATGTTCCATGTCGACATATGTTCCATGTAGACACATGTTACATGTCTCTACATGTTACATGTTGAGACATGTAACATGTAGAGACATGTAACATGTAGAGACATGTTACATGTAGAGACATGTTACATGTAGAGACATTTTACATCTAGTCATGTTACATCTAGACACATGTTACATCTAGACCTGTTCCATGTAGACACATGTTCCATGTAGACCTGTTCCATCTAGACATGTTTTATGTATACCTGTTTCATGTAGACATGTTCCTTGTAGACATGTTCCTTGTAGACATGTTCCATGCAGGCATGTTCCTTGTAGACCTGTTCCATCTAGACATGTTTTATGTAGACCTGTTTCATGTAGATATGTTCCATTTAGACATGTTCCTTGTAGACATGTTACATGTAGACATGTTCTATGTAGACATGCTCCAAGTAGACATGTTCCATGTAAACATGTTCCATGTAGACACGTTCCGTGTAGACTTGTTCCATCTAGACACGTTCCCTGTAGACATGTTCCATCTAGACCTGTTCCATCTAGTCCTTTTCCATGTAGACCTGTTCCATCTAGACATGTTCCGTGTAGACTTGTTCTATCTAGACATGTTCCATGTAGACCTGTTCCATGTAGACATATGTTCCATGTAGACACATGTTACATGTTGAAACATGTTACATGTAGAGACATGTTACACGTAGAGACATGTTACATGTCTACATGTTACATGTAGACACATGTTCCATGTAGACACATGTTCCATGTAGAGACATTTTACATCTAGTCATGTTACATCTAGACACATGTTCCATGCAGACCTGTTCCATGTAGACACATGCTCCACGTAGACACTTGTTCCACGTAGACACTTGTTACATACAGACACGTGTTGCATGTAGACACGTGTTACATGTTGACACGTTACTTGTAGACACATGTTCCATGTTGGCTGCCGGACAGACACTGAGCCTAATCTCTATAATACACACAAAGGCTTATTTTAAAGTTTGTAGATCATAATTATGCTCTTGTTCTACTTCTACTTTTAATACATCAGTAAGAGGGTTCTGCACCTCCTCTGGAGTGGCTCATTGTAACTATCATAAACCACTGTAAGAAATGTTGCTTTGATCAATTTTACAGTCGGATATTTGTATGAAGTCTCTTAATACACTGCCTAACCAAAAAAATGTCGCCACCTGGATTTAACTAAGCGGGCGGCTGTGGCTGAGTGGTTAGAGCAGTCATCCTCCAATGCAAGAGTTGGGGGTTCGAATCCACCAGCAGTCACATGCCGAAGTGTCCCTGGGCAAGACACAGAACCCCTCATTGTCTACGATGAGTGTCCCATCAATTCAATTCAGTTTATTTCTATAGCGCCAAATCACAACAAAGTTGTC